TCTATTTTCTATATGGCGCATCTATGTCTATTTTCAGTTCCTCAAAATAGGAATGCGCCTGAACACACCTCTTTTTTAGACCAGCACGCCCATGGGTGCAAATGCATTTGCAGAGGCGGACAGTAACTGAGTACATTACTTGAGTATTGTACTTAAGTACACTTTTTGAGTATCTGTACTTTGAAAAGTGCTCGCGCGTTGTGCGCCCGCCTATAGGTGCATATTACTAACGCGCTCTTTAAATAACAAAGAAAAAACATTGCGCCACACTTTAGACCAGGTTTTTGTTGGTTAATGGGGCAGGCTATTTTCAGTTCCTCAATATAGCAATGCGACAACAATGCGCCTGGACACACCTCTTTTTAGACCAGCATGCCCATGGGCACACAAATGGGCGCAAATGCATTTGCTATTTAAACAACGCGGCGCGGGACGGGGAAATGAGAACTGCGTCGGGCTTCCGCCTGGTGTATGACAGGGCCCTAAAATGTGTTTTAATTTCACTATTTATGATTGTCTTTAAATGCAAGCTATTTAAAGTGTACCTGAAGTATACTTGCGATAATTCCACTTATACTTAACTATATTTTTATTTGGACTTCAGCACTACTTCAGCACAATTAAAGTGCATTAAGCACAAAATTGAAAAGTGTTCCTATTTAGCAGACTTTAAGTATACCATATTAGTATACTAAAAGTACAATTGCAGGATATTTTTATTAAGTACATAAATATGTAAATGTGTTTGTAGTATACTTAGCATGAAATAAATGTATTTCAAATACATTTTAGTATATTTATTTTTCACTAGGGACATACCATCAGAATGTAAGTTGTTGGTTACTACCCGCTGGCTAGCTACACCTCACTGACAATTAATTCTGGATATTTCATTTTCTCCCTCATCATCCAGCTCTTTGTCACAAAATAAGATAAATAATACATCTTCAGCAGTAAAAAAAAAACTGGTTTCTTCTCATGGTTGACCTACCTGGCTTACATGTGGTGTCAGCCATTTTGACTCAAGTGCTATCCACAGGCTTTAGCCACAATACATTTCTCAGTGCCAAAGGGGGGTAAGTGCAGTTACGCCCTTTTGGCACCAACTAGTTGTTCATTGTTAATTCTTTTGGTTTCTAATGAATAACTTAAAAATGATTAAGAATTCACTTGTGTCCTTTTGGCAGTAGAAAGAGCTCATCAAGAGCTTTCATTTGATATATATATATATATATATATATATATATCAATCTCCATTTCATCCAAAATGTCACTTACGCCCTTCTGGTTCTCACCCCTCGTTATATTGAAGCCAACAATCTGCCAAAACAACCTGTTTTGTAATTTGCCACATTATGACGTCATAGTGTGATGAAAGACCACCTCTGCTAAATAATAATAATACCTACTAATTTGTGCATATAGTATGAAAAAAACAAGAGAGACAAACACAGGTTTGCTAAGCAACCAAACGATAAGGAGGGCTCTGAGTATAACAAGACGCTGTACAGTGCCCAAGTAAAAAAAAAAAACACAGTCTTTGCATTGCCCTCTGATCCTAACATTAGAAAAGATTGGATGAACTTTATTTTAATAAATTTCCAGATCATGTCAGTAAGAAACTGGTCGTTTGTGTGCTTCATTTTTAAATGAGATGCAATTTGATGCAGAATTTTTAGAGAGAAAAGACAATGATGTGCTGACTATATTGGATCAGAAAGTAATGTCGAAACACAAGTGTGAGTAACTGTGTTTTTATCATGTGTCACTGTGGCTTTGTCTGTTACAGATAGCTTGACGTACCGAGTATTTATGCGTTTTAAACCTAAATTACAGGAGCGTTCATCTGTGAAGTATGTGGGCTGTCAAACATACACAAGTGTTAGCCAATCATGGCAGTGGGCGTTTACTTCTGAGTCTACAATCCGCCATGCCTATTTAAACAGCGTTCTGATGAGGGAGGTTAAAAACAGGACAGAAAATAGCCTATTACTTCTGAATTATGTTTTTTTTTCTGTCAAAATTTGTTACAGAGAACAGTATAAAATAAAAAAGGGCAGTTCATGACCCCTTTAAACAAGAACAGTTCTGTCAGCATTTCTGGGCTAAGGTTAGTTACATGCAGTGTAAGTGAAATCGGCCAAACCAAATTCACACAATACAGAAGAAAGTAATAAGTTAATTTGTTCTCCCTGTCACAACCAAGACAGTCATGGACAAGAAGGCCAACCACCAGCTCTTTGCTGACAAGCTAATTCTGTCAGAAAGCCTGGTCATTGTAAGCAAAGGTGGTTGAGTCTGACACTGTTTTCCTGGGGTCCCTACAGCCTGCCTTCCCAGCAACTGCTACCAACACGTCCCTTTCCCTACTGGAGTCACCACTTCCACCCTACAGCTCTTATGTAATTGGGGATTGGCCAAAGTCGGGCCGTCGGTGAGCGTCTGTCGGGCTAGTTTGTTTGGTGTGTTCCACTTGTCAGCTCTCGCCATCTGAAGTTTGCCCCAACTGAACATGTTGAATCGCCATCGGAGCCGTCGGTGAGAGTGAGAACTCTAATTGGATGCCTAAAAATACAAAACATCAACAAATAAAACACTTGCCGTGAAGCAAACCCAACATGGCATCGTAAACATTGAAAATACACAATCCACATCAATACTATCACTGTGACAAACATAACAATCCACCGCACACATACCTCTGCCATAATCCAAGAGTGGAACGAAACTTTATGATAGAGTGGTATAGAACCGCTGCGTAACAGCTTGTTGCTATCGGCTAAACACGGAGTCCACAGCGCCAAAAAAAAACGCACTAACAGCCCACGTGCTCACACTCTCGTATAGAGGGTTACCTCCCTGCGATTAACACAGACTAAACAATGAAAAGAAACAAAACATCTTTGTATGAGCTCTTACAGCATCAAAGCAAGTGCCACGCTCATACCTCACTATAATGCCTCAGAGTCACGACACCAGAAGGGCAAAAGCCAAAACGTCAGGAAGTTACGCAATCTGGTCAATCAGCGGTGTTTGAGAATCCGCTGGCCCTCCAGGAATTGAGATTGAGATCACTGATCTAAAGGCTTAACTAAACCACACTCTACAGTAGGCACTTATACACCTCATTGCTAAGATATGCATGACAAACTGCTACGAGCACTGAGCGGAAAGTTTCACGAAACTAACCACATTACAGCTGTTTCTTTGGTATTGGAGGCTTCCATTCAGCTGCGTCATCTTGCCAACAAGCAGCAAAAAACAGACGTTGAGTGATCGAATGGAATTCAAGTATATTTCGGACAAACCACTGGATGCTAACCAATAGTGATGTTATGTTCAACACCGAAGCTTCGAAGCTTGTATCAAAAAAACAACACATTTGACATTGAAGCACTGTATCGGAGCTTGATTAGTTTTGAGAAAAGCATGTGACCTATGACGTCCGAAGCTTCATTCGCCTGAAAACCACGTGACTGCTTCAGTATCTGGTTCAAACGAAGCGAACCTCAGCGCCGTTTCCTTTACATGATATTACATTATGTTAGCATTGTTGTTGTTTTTTATCGTAATTTATATATTGAGCTCAAAAATTAACGTTGGCCATGAGATATCAGTCTAAGGACTGAGGCAGGGTTAAAATAAACAGATCATAGATTTAATTTATGAATTTATGTTTTATTTATTTGACTTATTTTAGTGCCAGTACGCCGACACAAATGAATGACTTTGACAATGAACATTATTTATATAAAATATAAAAAAACAAGAAATCAGTTGTAGAACCAGCTGTGAAACCACTGGCTGTAATGGAACATTTGGAACTTTGGAAGGTGTTATTTATTTTTATGGCCACAGCATAAACCGTTTTAAAAAGCTTCGAGTAATGAACCTTTTTCCGATACAATTGTGATGAAAGCTTCACTGGTTCAGAACGCTTCACTTTGCCATCACTACTAACCAATATCAGCTGAAGCTCAGTTGATCCGTCACTCTACCTACTTCAATAAACTATATAAGGCCTTTCATATGCATGCTCCTTCATCTGTCGCACAGACAGATGCACCTCTTTCCCTTTTAGCATCTTGAGAGTAGAGCATTCGGATATCTGCTTAGGAAATTATTTTGACTGGACTGCTGATGGTAGCCATTGGCTTACATACTATGGAAAAAATATTATGAAAGTCAATGGCTACCATCAACTGTTTGGTAACCAACACTCTTTAAAATATATTTGTGTTCAACAGAAGAAAGAAACTCATACAGGTTTGGAAAAACTTGGGGGTGAGTAAATGATTTTTTTGGGTACATTTTTGGGTGAACTATCCCTTTAAGACAAAATAATTAATCCAAAGAATTCCCAATAAAATCTATTTTTAGAACTGGTTGTCACAGTCAGCAGTTCTTTTCACCATGCCTGACCAGTCGCCTAGCACACTACATTTCCCATCATCTCCTTTGGCTAGCACCTGTCTGCCATCAGCCTCATCAGTTCCTCTTCATAAGCCAGCAACAAACACATGTGGTTGTCTGGTCTCAAGATTGCAAACTCACCTGTAGTGCCTCCACTTACCTTTTGGATCCCAATCCTCCAGAACGGTGACTTCTCTACTGGATTTACCTGCATGGACTCTTGATTTCTGTTTGGACGTTCCTGAAAGAGAAAGGAACATTTGATGACTTCAGTTAAGTGAGCTTCAGGTAACTGTTTATGTTCATTCTTACCCGTTTATGTTGGATTTCTACTTGTGGAAATAAAGAAGCTCATGTACCTTGTACCTATCTTGTCCATCTAGTTCCTGTTGTGACACTGGTCCTGACTGAACTTTATTAATTGATTTTATTTTCGCAAGGTGGGGCTTTTACAAGAACCACCACATTAGAAATTCCATTCTATCCCATTCTTTGTATAAACAATAAGCCACAAAAGAGACCATTCAAGAGAATCACACACAGAATAATACTACTAATAATAACTAGCACAGAAGAGGTTTAGAAAGTTACATAAGAAAAGCAGAGACATGAGGATGGCAGGTCTGGCTGACATCCACTGTGAGGTTTCTGGAGTAATTTGTTATGTTTAGTTCTGGATAAAACATGAGGATCATGCTGTGCACACAGAATGTCAATTCTTCCTCTTCACTGACATCTCGTACATTAATTCTGAAATCGCAACCATCTCCACTGTCAAACAGAAGACCAAGATCATCAGACAAACCCAGACTGTTATCCAGAAAGAACTGACGATTGCTGGTTATGTTTGAACCTGCAAAGAAAATGTAAAAAAGATGAAACTGTTAATCCAATAAAAACTGTGGTCAAAGGACTTCAGGGACAGAAAGAAAATTGCCAATTTCTGTGGAAAATGTTCTTACTAGTCCATTACCTGGTGAAAATGAACCTGCACGACTCCACTGAGCTAGGACACCAAGAAGGCACTCAAGTATCTTATTTTCCTTTCTACACGCTCTCCTTTTTGCCCTCTCTTTTCCACATCTATCATGTGTTTCCAATACATTCATGGGTAACACTTTTTGATAGTCCACTTTAGACATTCTACTAACCGTAAGTAACTTTACAAACTAAATGTCAACTAGCAGTCATTAGAGTATTAGTAGACTGTTTGCTTACTATCTTCTAACACTTTATTTTGATGGGTCCATAACATACAACATACTGACTGTAAGAAACTTTGCAAGTATATGTCAACTTATTCTACTAACCCTAAACCAAACCTAACAGTCTACTCTGAGAGTTAGTGGACATGTAGTTTCAAATTAATGAGAATTAGTTGACGTAGTTTCAAAGTTACTTATAGTTTGTAAAATGTCTAAAGTGGACTATCAAAATAAAGTGTAACCCATTCCTGTTGTCTTACAACAATGCTTTAACATCAAACACAGACGGCAACGCAATCTTGCTAACCTGTGTCCTATCTGCACCTCTTTTACGGCACCTCTCTCTTTTTCTGGGGGTCTCTGGAGTTGTCAGTCAGCTGTCAACAATGCAGACTTCATTCCAGCAAATGCCTCTGTCTACTCTTAGTATATTGGGCTTGACTGAGACCTGGATTCGTCTAGAAGACTCCGCAACCCCTGCTGCTCACTCTAACAACTTCTCTTTCTCTCACACCCCCTGTCAGTTTGGGAGGGGTGAGGGTACTAGTCTTCTCATTTCTAATAACTGGAAATACTCATCCCACTCTCTCCTATGCTATAAAAAACTCATTTAAATCTTATGCTATTACGGTAACAGCTCCTATAAAACTCCATGTTGAAGTAATTCATTTATTTGCCTCTTTATAGGGTATATGTCGAACATCACCTGACCAAACCCGGAAAACAGGTCTCATTGCTTCCATTTGTTGGAGAACGTGTTAACAGCCATATTAAATATGAGCGATATCTATGGACTTAAGATAATCAGTTAAACTAGCTAGCTGTTTTTATTGTTGACGTTTTATTCAATTTTTATATCTAAATGTGAAAAGAATAAAAATAAAACAAACTTTTAGATATCAGTCCGCATATGTGATGGACATTGGTTATGATCATCATTGGTATCTACTTTGAAGGCATCTTGAGTAAAACTGCTTCATATTTAACTAAGCATATGCAAAACGCTTGAACCGGAAGCGACGAGACCCGGTTAACAGAATACGGAAGTCTGTTGCGCATAACCCCTATTTGCTCATTGTATTCCACAATGTAAGTCACTTTGGGTAAAAGAGTCTGCTAAATGAATAAAGGTAATGTAAATTTAAACTTGCAATTCTGAAAAATAAATTCAAAACCACAAGATAAACTCACAATCCTGAGAGGAAAAAGTCAGGAATTGTAAGTTTATCTTGCAGTTTATATCTTGGAATTCTGACTTTATAACATGCAATTTCAAAGTCAGAATCAGTGTTACCAAGTCCACATTTTTCCAGAGGAATTGGGCAACTTTGTTTTTTGTCAAAAAGTCAGAATTTTGAGATAAAAAGTCAAATTCATTTTTTTTTTTTTTTTTTATTCAGTGGCAGAAATGGACTTACACGGTGTAGCCTGTTGATGAATGACATCTGGGACCATTTTGTGCACCACACCACAGACATATTTGACTGTCCTTGCTTTCATAGAAGAACTGAAAGATGAATTAAATAAATAAACGCAATTAATTTCCATGAGCAAGCGCTGTCATTTCAGTATGATCCAGTAGATGTCTTACCAGTCTCACAGACCACTCCTGCATCCTCTGCATGTGAGCAGTCAGTAACACCCCAGCCTTTGAAGCTGCATTCAGACAATGAGCTCTCCGAGCCTTTACAGTTCATGTCATCCAGCCAGATTGGACCAGAACCTACAAAAAAACAAATAAGTAAATGGGATTAAAATAAGAAAATAACATTTTGATTTAAAATCGAATTAAGAACACGGGTCAGAAATAAGACTGTTGGTATTACTGTGTAATATTTAAGTTCTCTTACCCTCACTAATGTGTTTATACCTTCACCATATTGTCCTCCAGGCGTAACCGATATAGCTCCAGGAAAACCCAGCTCACGACACACCACTTGTGCTTTAGCCAGTTCCCATCCGTCATCACAAACTGTACCCCACTGTCCATCATGGTAGACCTCCACACGACCAGATGACGGCAGATCCCCCACCAGTCGCACTCTGCCCTCACGTTTAGGCTTTGACTCTTCGTCTGTCGCAATCAATAAACTTGTTTATTTAGAGGGTTCATGAACATGTAAAAGAAAGCCCACGACAAACAAAACCAACACGGAGTAATTTGTGAAACGATGAAGACTATATTTAAGATCAGATGATCAGCTTTACAGATTTATGAGAGCTAGTAGTATATTCTTATATTTGTAAACGTCATGCATTTTTTTTTTTTGTGAAATATTTATATAGAAACTCAAGAAGCGAAGACCAGGAGACTCTTGGGTATCTTCAGCAGGATTCTTTATTGAGAATGTGCTGTGTGGTGCTGGCAGTGATACATTGTAGTTTATATACATTTAGGAGGCAGTGCTTAGAAATGGAAACAAAGCACCTGGGAGACGACTTTAAACAAAACATGCAAATGCAGTATTTGGGTATAGCAACCTGCCCTATTTCACCAATCAGTGATAATCCAATCAGCATGAATCTTCAAAGACATGAAGCCATTACAGACAAAGGTGAGAGTCACAGTAATCTGGTTCATTTGACTTACAATAAAGTGAACAGGAACTGGCAGGAACCTCTTGCAACAAACTTTGTTTAACAAAATAATAATCTTCAAACCATAAATGCAAATACAAACCCCTTGTTTCATTTAAATATCTGCTAAATCAGGACAATCATTGTGAGATATCGCTTACATGTGTAATCCAACCACTGCCCAGTCACATTTGAGGACTACCTTAAGTTTCATTTCAAGAGAAAACAAACTCAAGAATAACTGCAGTGCATGTTCAAACAAATCCTGTTTGAGTGGCTATTTGAGTTTGCCGCAAAATCCTTTCACGCAATGCAAAGAGGAGGTTCTCAAGCCACTGTGTATGTACATTAAACACTAGTGTATGTACATTAAAAGTCTACGCTCAAGTAAACATGACTGTTTTCTGTTTTATTTTATTCATATCCATGAGACTTTCTGAATCTGTGTGTTGGCATTCAAGTGACTTCTGTGACCGGACCTGGCTTTGAAACGGATTTGAGCATGACACAGCTGAAACACTTATGATTAATGTTGCTTTTGATGCAGATTATTGTCATATATATTATTAAATATAGGCTTTATGTACCGATAACTGTACATTTTGGATCTGAGCTCAAGTAAACATGACTGTTTTCTGTTTTATTTTATTCATATCCATGAGACTTTCTGAATCTGTGTGTTGGCATTCAAGTGACTTCTGTGACCGGACCTGGCTTTGAAACGGATTTGAGCATGACACAGCTGAAACACTTATGATTAGTGTTGCTTTTGATGCAGATTATTGTCATATATATTATTAAATATAGGCTTTATGCACCGATAACTGTACATTTTGGATCTGAACAGACATTCAAGAGTTACAGTGCAACATAAGTTTCATACAGTACTCATAAGTCTTGTACAATAAAAGCTATTGTGAAATGACTACATTCGAATGTAATAACTAAAAAAAAACACCCTTTTACCATCCTTTTATGGTCTATTGTCATCTCAATTTTAACAGGGTTGACATTAATTGACAGGTGGACACCTGGACAATAAAGCACCTTTTTTTGACAAAGAGGATGAAATGACACCTGTTGCAAGACTTAACAGACTTCGAAAAAATAATTTCATTTAAATAAATTGATAGAGTGTGAATTCAGGTAAAGTGGGCCATTTAAGCTTGATTGTACTGCGCTCAAATGATTTACACTTTCAGAGCATACACTCTAAAAAATGCTGGGTTATTTCAACCCAACTTTGGGTCAAATATGGACTAACCCAACAGTTGGGTTCAATTTTGACATCACATTTTTAACCCAAAAGTTGGGTTAGTCCATATTTGACCCAAAGTTGGGTTGAAACAACCCAGCATTTTTTAGAGTGTAACAATGGTCTTTTATCAAAGGGACACCTTCTTAGAATAATAAAACTGTTTTGGCTGATGCTGGTGGGTGTGAGCACATCTCAAAGGAGAACTCATGAAATGTAATCTCTTTGACATTCAGATCTTTATTTCTAGCTTATAAGGTTACTCACTAAAACAAATAGTATTGTGACAGCACTTGTGTTATTTGTTAAAATGAATTAACATGCAAATAATTTGTTAAAAATTGTTCGTTTTTTTCCTGTAAGGTGGTTAAATATTGCTGGCCCAGTTTGGCTGAAGGTGCTTAATAAAGTGGGCCACCTTGAACCTTCACTAATTCACATTCATTGAATAAACTGACATTCACTGATTACTTTCATGTAGAAATGATGTTTAGAAAACAAAAGTGTGCAGTCAGGAAAAGTCAGAGATGGAAGAATAGAAAGCGAGAGCAGAAAGGAAGGCGAGGCATGAAGCTGAAACTGTGCGGTGAAGAAAGAAATGAAGAAGAAGAAAATGTAGATGCAGGGTATAACTATTGAAATTATGTATACAATTAAAATTCATTTAAAGGGATTAGAAACATATTTATTGTTGCTTGTGTTATAGTCACATTGTAAATGTGTTGTAGTGTTAATTTTCATCAGTACGCTGTTAGATTTAATCAAATTGAATGCCAACGAGACATGTCCTATCAATTGTTTTGAATTTTATGCATGAATTGAGTGAACTTATGAATTTTACTCATATAGCTTTAACTTACTCCTGTAGCCTAGGCTATATGTTGTTGTGTTTGCTAAAAATGTTTGTATGATAATATACATTAATAAACCTAATAGTTGTTAATCAGGTGACACATTACTTCAAGATTGATGAAAAAAGTATTCAATATCTAGTTAATGCCTAATGAATTATTAAACAATTACTTATTGTGCAACTGTCACATTTTTAATGACCACTATTTCTTTCTATGACTTACTATTCTTTCAAAATGAGACACCACTGCCACCATTTCTGTTAAAGGCTATTACAATTTAATGGTTGTGAATTATTAACTGATTTTAATCATTTTGATGAGGCTAGATATATTTCATAAACAATTTAACAAAAGAATCAAACTCACAGAGATAATGTAAGAAATGTATATATATTTTTTATTTTTGAAGTGCACTTTCAAAATGAAGCATTTGTATTGCTACAGTATTTAAATGAAAAGTTTAAAATCAACTAAAACATTTGAGAGAAATCACTGCAGAATGAATAACATTAAAACAAACTTGATTGAATTTAATTGATTTGATTAAACTAGATATGAATATACTGAAATGCCTGCAGGAAACTAGCTGAAGCAAAATATAACTCTGTGCAGTCAGATATACTCTGGACGCGCTACAAATCTAAAACTGTAGTCATCAGGACAGGGGTTTGGCAGATCCATACTGCTGTTATTTGGAATCACTGCCATGCTGTTTTTGAAATCTTGAACATGAAAGACATTGTTTTCATTCTTACAGCTGAGAATCAACCTGTTGCTGTAGCGAATGGTGCTAGTGTACATGTTCTGATTACCATTTGCGACAAACCTTGCAACAGGAAAAGAATAACATGAAATACCATAGTTAGAGCATTCCTGAGCACTAAGAAACACCTGGGCTTGCCAAAAGACCATTTGTTTTCTGTAAAGAGCACTAGGGTGTGCTGGAGTGGAGAAGGTTAGTATTCTGTTATTTTGGCCATATCTGCGGTTATAGTTGTAATCATAGCGTGGGTATTTGACAGTGCTCACATTGAAAATTACACTCCACTCATCTCCAGTGTAGATTCGGGATAGATACTCACTACTCATGTTATCCATTTTATTCCTGATCTTAGAGAAAGGCAGAGCATTGAACTGAAAACCTCTGAGCAGACCAGTTAGGTACAGTTTCTCATGATTCTGACGAAGAACACTTGAGGAAAACTGCATTTCATAGAGTTTATCCACTGGGATCAAGAGGAAGCGGATGTGATTCAGGAGACTGGCCTGTTGATCTGAACTAATCTCATCACCTTTGTCTTGGATCCATCTCTCCAGAGCTTCAAGAAGTAAAGCTTCATCATTCACAATCAGGTCTGAGCGCTGCAGCAGAGCGTCCATCATGTGAAAGGAGATGGTGCTCCACACTGGAGAGCTTATGAGATACTCGCAGTTCCAGGAAAGATACTGAAGGACGTTCTCCTGCAGAACAAGATCACCTGTGCGAACGCCGTACTCGTACATGGATACCTGTGTAAGGAAGGTGTTGTCTTCAGGAAGGAGTAAAGTGAAGGTCCTGCCGACATCCTCCATAAGCTTCTTTACTCCAAAGATAAATGCCAGCTGATGCAGACATTGAGCCGACGTGATGGAAACATCAATCTGACGTGTGTACAAATACCTGAGCAAAATCAGATACTGTAAGTGTCTAACACCGATAATATAATCAGTTCTGATCTGCACTCAATGAGACATTTGGATTGAACTATGAAGTGATGTGGTCTTTAGAAAGTTACCTGAGAAAAGCAGAGACATGAGGATGGCAGGTCTGGCTGACATTCACTGTGAGGTTTCTGGAGTCATTTGTTATGTTTAGTTCTGGATAAAACATGAGGATAATTTTGTGCACACAGAATGTCAGTTCTTCCTCTTCACTGGTCTCTCGTACATTAATTCTGAAATCACAACCATCTCCACTGTCAAACAGAAGACCAAGATCATGAGACAAACCCAGGCTGTTATCCACAGAGAACTGACGGTTGCTGGTTATGTTTGTACCTGCAAAGATAATGTAATAAAACAGATAAAAAATTACAAATAACAGAAATACACATGCAAAAATATTGAGTTGCTGAGTTTCTTACCAGTCTCACAGACCACTCCTGCATCCTCTTTATGTGAGCAGTCAGTAACACCCCAGCCTTTGAAGCTGCATTCAGACAATGAGCTCTCTGAGCCTTTACAGTTCATGTCATCCAGCCAGATTGGACCAGAACCTACAAAAAATATAAGACAATAATTTTTATCAGTGTGTAACAAACAAATTGTGCTGTGGAGTTTGTACCTTCACCATATTGTCCTCCAGTCGTAACTGATATCGCTCCAGGAAAACCCAGCTGACGACACACCACTTGTGCTTCAGCCAGTTCCCATCCGTCATCACAAACTGTACCCCACTGTCCATCATGATAGACCTCCACACGACCAGATGAAGGCAGATCCCCCACCAATCGCACTCTGCCCTCCTGCTTTGGCTGCTTTAATCTGTCATCTTCATCCAGTGACAGAAGATTTAGAAGAAGACAAAAATGTAGAGATGTTTACAAATATATTTGTGACTTGTAGTCATTTCTTTGAGACTCGAAAAATTCTCCAAATACAAATAAAAGTAATTTAATTCAAAAGCAAGCTTGTATGTACTAACCAAACAGGGTCAGACGCTGTGCTGAAACGTGAAGAAACAGCAGAGGCCATAGAAGGTACATGATTCTTCTTTTGCTGGAAATATTGCAAACAGCAGCGACAGGAACACAATTCACAACTGAGTGAGTTCTAACACAACTTTTCTTTTAAATAACGACCAAATCAAGTCAACTATTATGAAACTTGCATGAAATGCTGTGTGATCACATTTGAGGGCTACCAAAAGTTTCATTTCGTGAAAATGCTATGTTTGGGAAGTTTCGTTACTGCAACCTACCATTTAAACAAGAAGTGTCTGTCAGCATGTCTGGGCTAAGGTTAGCCACATGCAGTGTGAGTAAGATCAGTCAAAACAAATTCACACAATACAAAAAGAAAGTCATTGTAACCAAGGGTGGTTGAGTCTGATGCTGTTTTTCCAGGGTCCCTACAACCTGCCATTTCTGCTCCACCTGGTCCTGCCACAATGTTTTCTCTTCCCAGACTAAAGCCCCTTTCTGACTTGGTGCCATGTTCCCTCCGTCTTTTCATTATTGTGACCTTGCCCTCTATGGCCTCCCTATAACGCTGATCTGCTTTGGGTACTGACAGGATTCTGCTCTCTCCTTATTCACATTTGTTCATGTTTTCTATGTTTGTGCCAGGACCAGAGTTGACCAGGGATGGGCAGCTGTGGTCCTGGATGGCCACTGTCTTGCAGTTTAACCCAATCCCTAATCCAGCGGTGTCAAACTCCACTGTTCTGCAGAGTTTAGCCCCAACTCTAATTAAACACATCTGATCCAGCTAATCAAAGTCTTTAGGAGTGCTAGAAACTTCCAGGCAGGTAGGTTGGAGCTACATTCTCCAGGACAGTGGCCTTCAAACAGATGAGTTTGACATGTGCCTTAAACAAACGCAACTGAAAAATCTTACCCATGTCTCAGGATTGTTTGAAAATTACAGGCAAGTGTGTTTGATTAGGGATGGAACTAAACTCCAGGAGCGAAGTTGCCTATCCCTGATTTAGACCTGAGCTGTGTTTGAAATCGGGCCCTATGCCTACATTCACTATTCCCTACGAGTGGGCGAATTGCTGAGTATGTGTTCATGTCTCCCTGCCTGTTTGATCTTGTGCTCTAGTTCTTGCCCTAGTCTTGTCTCTTGTAATTCTATGTTCTTGTCTTGCTCCTTGTTTTTGGATTTGGTCTGTTTTTGTTTCTTTGCATTTATTTTAGTATTCATTTAGTTCTCTTAGTTCTGATCTTTTGTTTGCATTTTTGTTTGATATTTGTGTTGGTTAATATAATAACAATAATAATATTATTATTTTCTTTTTATTAGTCCTTTTTTTTGTTTTGTTTATGCTCTTGCCTGCGTTGGGTTAATTTGTGTTCCTGTGGAGTCTTGTTCTGTCTTGTTGTGGTGTTAGAGTTCCTGACCTGTTCCTGCCCACTGGTTCCCTTGCCTGGCATCTAGGGTGCTTCAGCGTTTACGGTCAAGTATCTGAGCTCAGTTCTATGGTGCCTTGTTCTGTTCTTCCCACCGGCCTGGTCTTGTCGCCCCCTCTGCTGCTATAGTATTCTGCCAGTTTATGTCTGACGCGGCTCCAGTGGCCTTCCCTAGCTGTCTCTGTTTCCTGTGTACCTGTTGTGGTATCACCTGTGCACCTCACTACCCTTTTGTATCGGTCTGTTTTGTCAATAAACCCTTGTTACTCACACTGCGATTGGGTCCTCCTTCCAGACCCCTGACATTCAGTTTAATAATCATTTGAAACATACCAAAACCGTTACCTCCAATAGTAATTAAAAGATTTTTCTCTAACTCTGTCATGGAAACTAGCATGTATCAACCTTAATTAAACATTTTAATAATCAATTAAGAAATAAATTTATACCTGTATGTTATTACGCTGTATCCACACTGAACCAGTGGTTTGGAGGATGGATGGAAGGATAGGCTTGTTGGAGATACATTGGCACTGCGAAGACCGATAGGCATATGTCATCAAAGTACTGTGAGAGCAGCTGAAGAGCAGACAACTCTTTATGCTTTTGATTTGCTCTCATAGTACTTTAATGCTGATCGGTCTGCGCAGCACCGATGCATCTCCAACAAGTCTGATGATTCAGCAGGCACCATCTTCTGACAAAAGGCGGGAATTCATTGGGCACAACCCTCACAGTGCATTATGGGTATTCTGTAGCTGTTGAGTGTACATCGGTTGTACACTTATTATTGCAGCATAGAATTTATCGTGTGCACTCGATAAAGACTACAAATTTTTCCCCTAAAATAGTGCTCTATTTAGGATATAGGAGGTGATTGCAGACACAGCCCTTGCTCTGTTAAAAGCTCATCAAGTTCAAGTTCTTTATATACTTTCCCCATACTCTCTCCAATTTATTGTGCTTCCTTTCCATTTTTTTGCCAAATTGTGTTTGTTTCTACCCAGCGTCTGGACTCTCTGCATGCCTCAGAGCTCTTTCACCTCTCTCAAGCCCTTTGGTTCTGGTTGCCAGTTTTGGATCTCTCAATACTTATCTGTCTCCTGGACCTAACTTTGCACATGGTTTTCCCCTATGCTCTGTATGCTCTTCATGGGCCTGATCACACGTGGTCATTTTCTCTTGGCTTGTGTGGCTGCTATAACTCAGTTACAGTAGCAAAACAAAATGGACTGTTAAAAAGTTAAGGGTCAAGAACCTAACTAAACTAAATTAAACACTGATCACCATAACGGTGAGGTAAAAATGCCGACTCTTTCCTTCTGTGATTCTGCTTGTTAATATCAGATGCCTTAACTAATGGTCAATCATCACTTAATCACTGTATTATCTCATTATCAAATTGGCTGGTGAGTGAAAAAGTTAATTTCAAACCCTGTATGTAACGCTGCTTCAGTGTTATTTTTAACACTCTTGAGTGTGAACCGAAGCTCAGAAGAGAGTTAATTTAACATGGGGGTTTGCTGTGCACTTTTTACTATAATATTTTTTTTTTACTATTAGCTTGTACAGTATTCTAGTTGGCACAATTGCTTTCTGAAAACCAAACAATGCTCTCTCAGAAAGGAGCATTGCTGGTATTGCTCTTCACTGGTCCTTTCTCACAGGCAGATCCTTTAAGGTTGGAGCAGAGGGGTGTCTATCACATAAGCTAACTACTGGGGTGTCTCGGGGAGTGCAAAATGCTTATGGACAAAAGTTCTGGGTGCTTCCTTACTGGCTCAAGTCAAGATTCCAAATCTCTAAGAAAACCCAAATATTTAATTTTGCCATTTAGTGATTATGAATAAATAAATGCAAAACTGTCTAAAACAACAGAATATCCTGTGCATTTAAATCAAATGTGATTGATTTTTTTTTTTTTTTTTTTTAAA